TATTTCTATATAATTTTTATACGTAGTTGATGTAAGAGTTTTGATTGTACAAACACTCAACGTGTAAATTTCTTGTTTCAGTACATACATTCTCTAGACGACATGATGAACAAGCTGCGAGCTCTGCCAAGGTGATATTTTCATTTATGCGACATAACATGTATTATTTGTGCTATAGAGAGCGTCCCAGATTTCGCGCGGCAACAATTGACAGTGAAGTTTTCATTTTATGATAAAAAATCTACAAACCAACTCGTCAAGATTAATAGTTTTTAAGTGAAAAACGTTTAAAGTCGATTAAATTATTTATTCAAATTTGTTCATTACGGCATGACAAAAGTATCAGTCGTCATTCATAAACACTTTGCGAACCTTTGACCGTTGAATATGTATCGCTTTTCAACATTGTGAAGTCCAGGACGCTCTGTACATCATTTAAGATTATGTCAAATTGTTATCACAGTATCAAGGTGATATTTTCAGTTATGCGACATAACACATATTATTTGTGCTATAGAGAGCGTCCCAGATTTTACGTGGCAACAATTGACAGTGAAGTTTTCATTTTATGATAAAAAAATTTACAAACCAACCCGTTAAGATTAATAGTTTTTAAGTGAGAAACGTTTAAAGTCGATTAAATTATTGATTCAAATTTGTTCATTACGGTATGACAAAAGTATCAGTCGTCATTCATAAACACTTTGCGAACCTCTGACCGTTCGTATTGTTTTTCAACATTGCGAAGTCCAGGACGCTCTGTACATGATTTAAGATTATGTCCAATTGCTCTTGCGATCACAGTATCAAAAACACTCGTGTTAAAATGTTGGATTTTCCTTTACAGCAAACCACCCAAGCGTACTATAACAGGATACTATATGAGGATCTACCCTAAACGGATAGAGTTTATAACGGGAGTATTAGACGCGATGAAGCTGTCGAACCCGGAGGAGAGGATGGTCGTCACGGAATTGTTGTGGAAACCCTCGCTGTTTATCACTAATTCCAGTACAAACATCACGACGCAGATATTCCAGGAGAAGGTCGCCAAGTACAATCGGGAATTACGGGCGGAATTGTTCCACAGCGACAAAGGTGACTTCAACGAGGTCCCTCGATAGAACGACCGACCGGTCTTTACACGCAATATTAAATCTCATTATGTGTCACAGACGCGGGTAAGGACGGTGTGCAACATAGATTGTCGAGCTCCAATATCCAGGACGACGATCTGGACGCTATCCTGAAGTACAATCGTAACATCCAGGAGAAGATCGCCGAGAATATGCCCTCCATGACCAGCACCATGAAGGAGCGCGCACTGGCGGCGAGCGCTATCATAAAGAAGCACATCGGCAGGCTGGAAATGTCTGACAAGCTGACCGACGTGAATGCTGTTGAATTGAAGAAGGAGTCCCTCAAGTTGGAAGAGCACACCAACTCAAAGGAGAGGTGGTGGGATTGGTGGTGGGATTGGTTTATTATGATAGCCTTCGTTCTGGGTGTATTTTGCGGTGAGTATCTCGCGCGTCAATTACACAAACGCTCTCCGGAGCGGTGCGGCGGCGATTTCTTTATTTATCGTTTAACACGAATTTTTAACTTTCGCGCGATGTCACGCAGCTGTAAAAATGTCGGCAGCTAAGGCATTAATGTAAAAACTATCCCATTTCCCTTTTATCTTTTCCAGGCATGGTGTTAAATATATATACAGTAAAACGTCCCACATCTGCGCCGGTCGGGACCGGAACTGACCCAACATCTGCGTCAGAAAGCGGCGGTGGTGGGGGAGCTACCTTTTGAAAACGCGAAGATGTGGGACGGAAACTAGCGAAGATATGGGACGCGCGCAGATGTGGGAAGCGCAGATGTGGGACGTTTTACTGTATGGCGATACAAAAAGACTTAGATAATCGTTACGCGCGCTACTGTCAGACGTCAGTCCGCCTAGGTGAGTCATTGGATTGGTGTTATGATGATAGAATAACACAGCCATGAGTGTGCTTGTGAAACCACTTGTGCCACCTAAAACCACTTGGAAACCCGGTAAATATACCACGAAATCGCGCCGTGGCGTCTGGCGTGGACAATGCGTAACTCGTGGCCCGGTTAGGCGCAATTTGTTAACGTTATCTGATTAATTATTGTAAAGTACTTGCCTATGGATTTCGTCAGGATAAGGGAAAAGACCGGGTGTGGAAGCACTGATTTTAACTTGTTTAATTATAACTGATTATAATATATAATATAATTAATTATAACTGATTATATTATAATTATAATTGTTAGGATATGTAAACGCACCACAATGGTTCTGTTAGTCCCTAGATTCGCATTACGTTTAAGTTGGCAACTAGCCCTATGTTTTATTTTGTCTTTATGTTCCCCCCATTGCTTTTACCTCTGTTCCCGCGCTTGTGTGTGCATAGCTCAGCCAAATAAAGCTACGTTTTTCTAAGAATATCATTCTTGTACAATTGCCTATAATTCACCTAAATCATCAGTTAGATGTTACATGATTATTGCGCGAAAGTTTTTCCGCGAAAGATCTTCGAGAATAAACGTTTATAAAATTTTGTATCATTTCTCATTCTCTAATTATTACATCGAAATTATAGAATTACGCGATAAAACCACTAAAAGATAAACTGGAAAAAAGATTAATTTTACCACAAAATGAAAAATAACATTTACCATAAAGTTGCTCCGCCGGCGCCTGATGCCTATCCCAAGGCCGCCTCCTCCACACAGGCTGTTCTCCGACACACTCGCGGAAACGATCTCGCGCGATTTTACACTCCCGCTGTGAAGTCCACGTGACAGTATGCCGTCCCGTCAAGTTCGCCTCCATTTCGAGTCGACGAGTATTATATAAAAACTGTCAAATCTGGGAAGTACCCTGGTGAAAATAGAATTTGGAGCGTAAATCGAATGTAAGGGGAGAGTGACAGAAGCGTGAACGAAATTACGCTTCCTACACATTTCGTTTACGCTTGTTTCACTCTCCCCTTACGTTCGATTTACGCTCCAATTTTTATTTTCACCAGGGTGTGGCCATCGACAGGAACGTACATTTAAAGAACACTTAGTTTTCACATGGGCTTCGAAAAGTCTTCAGTTCGATTGCTTAAACGGCACTCCCGAACGCGACGAAACTGGAAACTTTGTGTTATACGCGCACTTTTCACGTACAAATGTTAGAGAGATTATTATTTCTACGCAAGCGATCGATATGTTATAATTTGTTGCTGTCATTTCATCCGGCGACTCGTGTATTATTTTGCGCATTTCAAGCCTTGCGTCCACGATCCAAGAACTGTGTCAAAGTTCTAGTTTCGAGAAACGCGCAGCCAATCGACATGCAGCTTTTATGGAATAGCCGCAAGCTGATTGGCTACGCATTTCTCGAAACTAGAACTTGGCCCAAGTTCTAACATCGTGGACACAGACCTTCATATCTGCAATTGCTTAAACGCGATTGATAAATCTTATATAAATCTCGTGGGTGACGATCGCGTTGCGTAGAAGATCGAGATTCTCGTAGAAAATTATCGCGTTACGAAGAGCGACGCGAAAACACGCGGAACGTCCGCCTCGCTCGACTGCGCCGCGCCGAACTAAGGATGTGTTCGAAAATGGATTTAGTTACTGCCAGTGAAAACAGTATAGTTGGTAGCAATGAAAATTACTGGTGCTGCGTTTTTCGCACGCCAGTAAAGTCAGTAAGGCTGGGAAATTGACCAATCACAGTTCATTATTCGACTTA